TTATATAGGACTATTATCCAAAATATACAAAAATGTCTTGAAACTCAATAAGAAATAAACAACTCTATTAAAATAGGCAAAAGATCTGAACAGGCACCTCAACAAATAAGATTTACATATGGGGGCAAATAAGTACATGACAGTATGCTTAACATTGCATGACATTAGAAAAGAAAATCAAAACAACAACATGATACCCCTGCATATCTATAAGAACAAATGCTGGCGAGGATGTGGAGAGACAGGAACACTCTTACACTGCTGGTGGGACTGCAAATTAGTGCAACCTTTATGGAAAAGAATTTGGAGATACCTCAAATAGCTAAAAATAGAAATACCAATCAACCCAGCAATAGCATTGTTAGGCATCTATGCAAAAGAGCATAAGACATTCTATTATGAAGACATCTGCACCCAAATGTTTAAGGCAGCACAATTCACTATTGCAAGGACATGGAAACTACCCAAGTGCCCATTAATTCATGAGTAGATAATTAAAATTTGGTATATGTTTACAATGGAATATTACTCAATTCTAAGAAACAACAGTGAGCTAGCACCACTTACACTATCCTGGATTAAGCCTAAGCCCATTATCCAAAGTGAGGCGACATGAGATCAGGAAAATGGGCACCACATATACTTGCCATCAAATTGGTACTGACTGATGAAAACTATGATACTCAAAGGGTGGTGGTGTTCACCAGGGATTCGGGGGTTGGGGGGTAGACCCACATCTGAGGGATGTGGTGAGCATTGTGGAGGGGAAGGGCATACCTCTAACCCTTCCTAGGGCGAGGCAAAGATATAAAATGTAACCAAAATGTCAAAAAAAAAAAACATTTATTGGATGTCAGCTGGTGGGAGGCGGGAGGAAGGGATGGGTGTATACTTACATAATGAGTGTGATGTGCACTGCCTGGGGGATGAACGCTCTGGAAGCTCTGACTCAGCAGGGGGGTGGCAAGGGCAATATATGTAACTTTAACAATATTTGTACCCCCATAATATGATGAAATAAAAAAATTATATATGAAAAAAATAATAATGACTGAAATCCAAAACACTGACACCATCAAATGCTGGTGAGGATGTGGAGCAACAGGAACTGTCATTTATTGCAGGTGGGGACGCACAATGGTACAGTAACCTTGGAAGACAGTTTGTAAGTTTCTTACAAAACTACACATACCACATGATCCAGCAACTGTGCTCTTGGTATTAACCTAGATGAGTTGAAAACTTATTTCCACACAAAAGCTTACACATAAATGTTTATAACAGCTTTATTTGTAATTGCCAAAAGTGAAAAGCAATCAAGACATACTTCAGAAAGTGAGTGGGTAAACAAACTGTGGTCCATCCAGATAATAAAACATTATTCAATGCTAAAAGGAAATGAGCTATCAAGCCATGAAAAGACATAGAAGAGCCATTTTGAAAAGCCTACCTATTGCAGGAGTCCATCTATATGACATTCCGGAAAAGGCAAAACTATGGAAACAGTAAAAAGATCAGTGGTTGCCAGGGGTTGGGGGGAGTGAGAGATAAACCGATGGGGCACAGAGGATTTTTAAGGCAGTGAAGCACTTCTGTATGATTCTATAGTGGTGGATATGTGTCATTCATTATACATTTGTCAGAACCCACAGAATGTGCAATACCAAAACTGAATCCTAACATTAACTATGGACTTTGGGTGATAATGACGTGTCTGTGTATGTTCAATTGTAACAAATGTACCGCTGTGGTGTTGGTGTGGGACCCCTGATAGGACAGAGGCTGTGTGTGAGAGGATGGCATATATATGTGAACTCTCTGTATTTTCTGCTCAATTTCCCTGTAAACTTAAAACTGCTCTAAAAAAATAAAATCCATTAAAAAAAAGTGACGAGGAAGCCCCAGCCTCACATCTTGCCCTGGCAATTTAAAGGTTGAGTGCAAGGGACTGGACTCTTTATTGTCCTCTCTACTGAGGAGTGGGTGGTCCCCTCAGTTCTCACTCAGTTTTATTTGGCTCTTAGCAGAACCTGGGGATCCCTTCTTTCTTGAATTGAGGACCTCTCCTCATAAAAGACCTGCACCTCCCTGAGACCCAATAGAGGAAAGTGAGGGTGGCCTGATCTGGCAACAACTGACCATGGTCTCCCAAGAGAGATAGCTATGGCAGACAGGTTGAGACCCTACCGGTGAATCCTCCTACTCAGGGTCCTAAGTCAGGATCCCAAATCTGAAGGCCTAAGAGTCCTCCCTCTGCTGAGCTGAGACTGCCCCCCTCACACTAAGACCCCCACTTCTCTGTTACTCCTGAGGATATGAGGGTGCCTCTGCCTGACATTTATGTCTGAATCTCTCAGGACTGGTAATAGGGAGGACACTGATCAGTCCCCGCTGATAGGGGTTTGGTGGTTCCTGCACTGTTCAGTGTACTCACTTTACTCCTGGAACACTTGGAAATCTTCCCTCTATGGATCTGATTCAGCCAACCTCAGAAACCTTCTGAAAACCTCCATAGTAGAAATCAGGTTCAGTCACATCCTGTCAAGACTATTTGCAGACTCTGTGGGCTGCCAGCAGGGTCAGAAGTCTATGTATCACATTGCTTTGGGTAGGTGCTTCCCTCATTCCTTGTTCAGGGTCCTCAACTTCGTATGTGTCAGAGACTCGAACTTCCCCTTCTGCTGACCTGAGGTCACCCTCTCTACGGCAGGACTCACAAGTCCCTGAGAGCCTTGACAAGTTAAGTGAGGAGATGCTCAGCTGTCAACTTTGCCTGGCATGGTGCTCCCCCCAGTCCTCCTATATAGGGGTTTTATCTTGACTCCTGTCCCTTAATTATAGACTTCCTGGGACATGCCACATCCCTAAACACTCTTAACCAGTTACCCGAAGAAATCTTGGAGAAAAGACATCCCTGTCCCAGTAGTGGTATAAGATAGGGAAGCTAAGACACAAGGCAGAGGCCCCAGGACAGATGCTGTATGGTCAGAGAAAAAAACACATTGATCTATTCCTTCTTTTTTGCCAGCCAGATTTAGGCTCTTATATATTTCTGTTCAAAAACTTTTAACTTTCTAAAAGGAAAAGGCTGTCCAGAATGACTGAATGTGAGCCCACGATCTTTTAAGTTATCTGATGTTGCATATGTGATCGTACTTTCACCAAATATTATCTTTCTCTCCTTAATTCACATCTCTCAATCATTTTGGTATTTTTATTAGTCTTGTTATGTATCCCAATCTAGTAAATTGGGCACGGAATCCTTCTTTTTATCACCTGAGATATATTTAGGAGTGGTGAGAAGAAAACTGAAGTAAGAGGCACAGTGAGCCTCAGGCTGGGAGGTGCATACAGAGGGGGATTTACACTAATTTAGACAAGGGGTCTTGTCCCAGTTCCCTCAATTACCAGCCATGTGAAATTGGGCAGGTTACCAATCTCCATGAGCTTTAGGCTTTTCATCTGCATACTGGATTTGATAAGCTCTGTCTCGTAGAACAGGTAGAATGTATATAATGTATGTAAAGTTCCTGAAATGTACTGAGACTTTTAAAAATGCCAGTTCTTATTATGATTAATTTGTCCCCTGAGCTTGAAGCTCTGACTTGCGGGGTGAGGGGGGACCAGGGCATTATAAGTAACCTTAAAATTTGTACTCCCATAATATGCTGAAATAAAAAAAAAATTGTCCCCTGACATTACAGTCCACTACCCTGGGATTTATTTTCCAATTCAGGAGATGTCAAAGATTATGCCACATTCTAAGCAAAAGGAAACCCTATCAGACAAATAGAGTTTGTTTTTCCTTAGCAAGGAAAAGTAAGTAATATTTTCCCATTACAGTATAATTCATCCAATGTCAGTGTGAAGTAGACTTCTTCAGTGAACGCAACACAAAGCTTCTAAAATATTTCAAGAACCAAAAACTTCCCTCTCTCTCAGCTGCCCTTCCTCCGAAACCACTTCTATTTCTATTCATTTAACCACTATCCAAAAAATCTAGATCTTGCCTAGAGTTTGCCACATTACACATAAGATAACCTAATTGACTACCCTTTTAATAAAATGGGCCCTGGATCCCCAGGCTGGGGCAAAGAATGTTAGCACAGTGGCTTCTGGGCATCTCACCTCAAGGGAGTATCACCCTTATTTCTCAGAAACTCTCTGGAGATGATATGCATAGAACATCTAGTTCGTGCACTATGTTCAGCTGCACTGGGGCAAGAGCAGAGGACACCTTCCAGCCCTGCCCCTGGTGGAGATTCTCTCTGGTTTATCCGTGATACCAAAGTAATGGTTAAGAACTGTTTCCCAGTCCAGACTTTGTCTCTCAACTCTGAGAGGCACTATCTAAGAGTCTGGCCCCTGCTCACCACTCCTACAGCTTCATCCAGCCCACCATGCAGACCCACTTAAAATTACCTCCCACTGAGGGACTTGGAGTTTCTCAAGGCCTGACACTGCCTTGATCAGGTAATATACACTTGACTGCTCTCATCTGGAACCACCTCCCTCCCTTCTTATCTATGTTCATTCATCCTTTTGGTCTTAGGGTGTCTATCATCATTTTTCTTACATGGTGGCTACTTCTCAACCTTCCAATTTTATGGTCAGTTGCTAGGTCTTCTTTTTCTTAGCCTTCCTACTACTAGCATGGAGCTCAATTAATATTGGGAGACTAAGTGAGCCTGTGAGTCTGGGGTCTAATTTGTTATGATTTAATTTTACATTCTTGAATAAGCCAGGCACGGATAGTTATTTATCTTCTAATCTTATAAAACACAGATTCAAAGGGTTTAGGAAACCAAATATTGACTATTTTACTCTTTTGTTCTATTTTTTGATTCCACACATTTTACTGCTGAGTTGTTTTTTTTTCACATTTTCAAGGAAATTATGCCAATTCCAAGTGACCTTGCACCTGATTACCAAGATGGAAGTTTTCTCAATTTGTTCTACAAAACAGCAAAACTTTTACTTTTAAACCAAACAAACAGTAAGTGCAATTAATATCATTTATAAACTTAGATTATAATGCTAAATAGAAGGAATATTTGAAAAATACCCCTCCAATACAGATAAATCTTAAAATTACCCATATAGAACAAGAACACAAAGGTATTATACACTATGTTCCCTTCAGTCACACCCAGCCTTCCACTACTTGGAACACTGACCGCCCTCTTCAACCACAAAGTGGAAAATCTGCCTCAGCTTCACTAGGTGTGGGAAGAGCTGCTGGACATGGCCTTGGAACATTTAATGGCTGTGGCATTGCTGCTATCACTGAGTGTAACTGTGGCTTGTGCTCTCTCTTCTTCATCTCTCACCGCCTCTTCATACCAGGGCTGGAAGGCACTGGGGTCTGTGTGATTGACCTTGGCCAAAAACTCCAGGACTCTCATCTTGGTTGTTTCAGCACGGGCTCTTGGACCCCACAGGAATTCGTAGCGTGCAGGATCACTGTTGGCCACTTGCCGATATTCTAGGTATTTAAGCTTCACCAAATCTTGGGTGATGAGCTTCCTGGGCTCCCCAAATATAAAGTGTCTCTGCCCAGCATACACCCTCATCTTATTCAGGAATCCCCAGATCTCCTCCTCAGTGGCGCAGTTGCCCCTCATGAAGATCACACCCAGGAGATTCATCAGGAGACCGGTCTTGGGAAACCCCCGACCACGACTCACCATCCCATTGTTGGGGAGGTCCATTTTGCTCACAATGGCGTAAGAGTGCTTGGCAGAATCAACTTCCTTTAAATCAACACCAAATACCACCTCCATGCTGAAAGAAGCTCTTCTTAGGATCTCAAGGAAGCGATTCCTGTACTTTTTATTGACAATCTTCAGCATATCTGCCTTCATAATAGGCCTTTTCATTTTGTACATTTGCATCAGGAACTGCACCAACATACTGGTTGTCTTGGTTAGAGAGTCTCTTCGAGACTGCATAGTGGAGGATGGGGCCTGGGAGGATCTTTGCTTTTTCTCAACTTTGCCATTGGCTCTTTTGCATGATCTTGGGTGAGAAACACCTACAGACACAGTGGTGGATAGGGCTCCCCGAGGCCTCTTGAGAGTGCTACGTGACCTAGCAGCAGACTTTCTCTGGGTAATAACCCCCAAACGAGAAGAGGATGAGGAGGGGGATTTTTTCTCCTTAGTTGCAGTGGCCTGAGCATCCCGGAGACCCTGGGTCTCACCTTGGGCCTTGCGGCGTTTCTCACGGGCACGGAGTTTACTCTTCTGACCCCGAGGCATGATGACTGTTCTCAGGAACAGCAGGCAGGAATATGGGCAGTAGAGCAGGTGAGGCAGGAACCTGGAGGAAAGAGGATGACAGGGCATGAGCACCTTCAGCAGGGAGATACCACTTTGGCTTTAAAAAGGCCACCTCTGCAGGTTTCTGTGAGAGCACTTCTCTAGAAATCCAGAGGCCTTGTGTTCTTTCTGATCAGTTTGTCCTCTGATAACCCTGCAGAAATAATTAAACTGTGCCTCGGGCTGCAGCCTACCAGCCCTGCCTGGTGCATACTCAGACTTACAGCAGCAGCAACAGGTCTAGTCCTTGTGGATCCCCTTGTACTCTTGGTTGGGGGTGGGGCTCTCACTTCACATTCAGGACAATCATATCGACTGTCAGCAGGGCCTGGGTCCCCTTCCATGTGCTATACTAAATTTGACACCTCCAATCAATATCCTCACCTCCTTGGGATCCACTAACAGGAAGTGAAGGGATGCCTCAGCCCACCGCTGCTGCCAGGGGGCACTTGGTGCTAAGAGCTCAGTGGAGGCCCACTCTGTTCTAGGATTACTGGGGTCCTGAGACCTCATTCAGGCTCCTCACCTTGTCTCCAGGTAGGATCTGGGCCACCTGCTTCTGCTGATCTGATGCCTCTCCCTTCACACAAAGGCCCTCAGCAACCTATTGTCATCAAAAAGAAAGGAGAGTTCATGTATGCCCGACCTCCTTGCCTGGGCTCCTCAAGGCTGCAAGTAGGAAGGAGAGACTCTCTATTGTCTCTTCGTGCTTGGGTCGGTGAGTGGCACAACCAGTCCTCATTCAGGGTCTTCACCTTGACTCCTGTAAGGCTCTGGGTCTCCTACTTCAGTAAACTTGGGGCACACAATTAATACAACCTTTCTGGCACTCTCCAGGTGCTAAGGAAGCACCTGATCCTGACAGTTATCCTGGGGCTTTCCAGAGCTGAGAGAAGGGGCAGAATTTATGGGATCCCACTTTTTAGAGTTGATGTTTCCCTTAGTCCTCACTCAGGTCTCTGATCTTGACTCCTGGCAGGACTTGGGACACTTCCCTCCACTAACTTAAGTCTTCCAGCCTCAGGGCAGCCCCCCATGACTACCTTTGCCAGGAGCCTTGCAGAAACGAGTGCAGAGACACTGTTTTGCCACCTTTATTAGGGAGAAACCACCTCAATAGCACTCAGGGCCCTCACCTGGACTTCATCTAGGGCCTAGGTCTCCTCTATCTGCAGAATCAGGGCCACTCCGTTAGACTAAGGTCCTATCCCCCACCCCCACCCCAACCCCCACGATTTGCCAGGCAGAACTCTGACAGGCAGCTTTTTGGGGGTATCCTGGGTCCCACTGCAGGGGCAAAATTTAGCGGGAACCCCTTTGTTATGGGTGACGGGTGGTCCCTTCAGTCCCAGTCCACACTCCGGGTCCTCACCTTCACTCCAGATCAGTCCTGGGAATTCACCCTCAGCCTACCCAACACTGCACTCGTTAACACCGAAGTCCCCACCTTCACAGCGGAAGTGAGGATGAGCCACATCCGGCTACTGCCGCCTGCGGTCTCTGAGGGGGTACAGCAGGGGCGGGGCACCATGAGACCCCACTGTTCTGGAGTCGGTGGTCCCTAGGTCCTCACTTAGGGTCCTCACGTTGATATCCAGCAGAGTCTGGGACTCCTCCCCCTACTGACCCGAGTCCACCAGCCTCCAAACAAAACCCTCACCTTCCTGAATGCCTAGGCGGGAAAGGGCCTCTCGCCCGCAGCCTTCTAGAAATGAGGGCAGGGATGCTGCTGCTTTGTGTGCTATCCCTACTGGGGAGAAATCTCATTTATATCCAGGGCCTTCACACCGGCTCCAATTAGGGCCTAGATCGCTTCCATCTCCAAAATCGAGGCTACTCCCTAAGTCCAAGGCCCTCCCCTCCTTGAGACTTTCCAGACAAAATTCTGCCAGACAGCTCCGCCAGGACCTCCCAGGGTCGACCACAAGGGCGGAACTTTGTGCCCCTCGTTTTTATGGATAGAGAGTGGTCCCTTGATTCCCCACTCGGGGTCCTCACCTTGACTCTGGACCAGTCTTGGGAATTCAGCCTCAGCCACTGATCCAACACTGCCTTCCAAGCAGGTCCTTACTTTCAAAGCGGAAGTGAAAATGAGCCATGTATGGTCCGGGATCTCCGAGGGCAGACCACAGAGACGGGACACTGTGGGACCCCACTTCTCTGGAGTCGATGGTTCCTAGGTCCTTACTCAGGGTCCTCACCGTGTTGTTGACAGAGTTTGGGATTACTCCCTCTGCTGGCTTGAATCTGCCAGCCTACAAATAAAGCTCTCACTTCCGTTAGTCCCTGGCGGAGTAATCTAGGCACAAATGATGATAGCGTCCTGGGGCTTCATAGGCTTGAAAACAGGATCGGGGCTTTTGGTGGCCCCCTATTTTGGGAAGAGGCACCCCTGATTAACACTGGTGATCCTCACCTTAACTCCAGTTAGGGCTGAGACTCCTCACTCTGAAACAGTGAATGTCTAATAGGCTACTCTATTAGACAAGCCGCTCCTCTCTTGAAATCCTTCAGGCTGAAATGAGGGGCACTTCAGCCTTGTAGCTCTGCCGGGGGGCCTCTCAGGGTTAAGAAGAGGAGAGTGGCACTCTGAAATCCCCTCATTTGTGGGTTTAGTGACACCTCCCCCCCTTTTTTTGAGACAGAGTCTCACTCTGTTGCCCAGGCTAGAGTGCTGTGGCGTCAGCCTAGCTCACAGCAACCTCGAACTCCTGGGCTCAAGCAATCCTCCTGCCTCAGCCTCCAAAGTAGCTGGTATTAATACTACAGGCGCGCGCCACCACGTCTGGCTAATTTTTTTTCTATTTTTGGTAGAGATGGGGTCTCGCTCTTGCTCAGGCTGGTCTTGAACTCCTGACCTCCAGCGATCCTCCCGCCTCGGCCTCCCAGAGTGTTAGGATTACAGGCGTGAGCCACCACGCTCGGCCGAAATGACCCCTTTTTTACTCATTCGAGAGAAACCTCACCTTGCTCCTGGCCAGTCCTGGAAGTCCACCCTCCCTGACATGAACTCTGCTAAAATCAAGGTCCTCTCCTTCCTGAAACTTTCCAGGTGGAAGTTAGGGTGAGCCGCATTAGGCCAGGGATGTTTAGATCCTGTGAGGGCTGACAGCAGAGTTGGGTTTCTATGGGACACCACTGTTCTGGTTCCCCATATTCCTCATTCAGTGCCCTCATCTTGTATGTATCAGACCCTGGGATCATCCCTCTACTTAACTGAAGTCACCCTCCTTAGGTCAAAGCTCTTACTTCACTGAGAACTATGAAGAGTAAGAGAGGACGCCCAGCCTGACTGCCCTGCCTGAGGCATTCTAGGTCTGAAAACAGGTTTGAGCAGATTGCTGTATAACTCCCTCTATTTTGCAGTGGTTGTCTCTCCAGTGTTTATTCATGGGTGTCTTCATTTTTTCTCTTGTCTCTTGCATTAAAGGCTTCCTGGGAAACGCTATACCCCTGCAAACTCCTGAGCAGTGTCCCCAGTGCAAACCTTGCTAGTCCATGTCCCACATCTGATGTGAGATGAGGACACTGTAATACAAGGCAGGGGACCCACCACAGGTGATGGGTTGTCAGAGAAAAATGATGCTGATTTATCGTTGTTTTCAATAGACAGTGTTAGCCTTTTATCTGACCTCTGTTTTAATTGATTTACTTCTGAACAAGAAGGAGCTGTCCAGAATGATTGTGTAATCCCTGATTTTGAGGTTATCTGACTTTGCATATGTAGGTGATCATATTGTCACTGAATAATCTTATCTCCTCTTTATTAATAACTTTCATTTATTGTGGTAGCCTTAATTGCTTTGGTTATGTATTTCAGTACAATATTTTGGCCACAGAGTCCTTTTTTTTTTTTTTGAGACAGAGTCTCACTCTATTGCCTTGGCTAGAGTGCCATGGTATCAGCCTAGCTCACAGCAACCTCAAACCCCTGGACTCAAGCAATCCTTCTGCCTCAGCATCCCAAGTAGCTGGGACTATAGGCATGCACCACCATGCCTGGCTAATTTTTTCTATGTATTTTTAGTTGGCCAATTAATTTCCTTCTATTTTTAGTAGAGACAGTGTCTTGCTGTTGATCAGGTTGGTTTCGAACTCCTGACCTTGAGCGATCCTCCAGCCTGGGCCTCCCAGAATGCTAGGATTATAGCATTATAGCATGGTGTGAGCCACCATGCCCGGCCCAGAATCCTTCTTTTTAATCCCCTGAGATATATTTGGGAGTATTGAGAAGAAAAGTGAATTTAGGGGCACAAGGTCTATTTCAGGCAGAGAGGAATAGAGCAAACAGTGTGGGCTCTAGAATTCAGACCAGGAATCTAGTCCCAGTACTGTCTCTTACTAAGCCTATGCTTAGTAAGAGACAGTACTGGGACTAGCACATTACCAAACTCCAAGGCAAAGATTACAATAAAACAAAATGCTGCTTAGCAAGGAAAATGATTCAATATATAATGTGTTTCTGGGAGACTCTTCCCCAACTGGATACAACTTAAGACTCCTAGAATTTTCGTTAATGACTAATATCTTTCCGAACTTCCAGATGCCTGTCCTTGTAATCCACCCCTACTTTTATTAATTTAACCATCATCCAAAATCTAGACCCCACTTAGAGTTTTTCAAATTACACACAGAACAATCTAATTGAACATTCTTTTAATGGAGCAGGCCCTAGATTCCCCAACCCAGGACAAAAAGTGCAAGAACATTGGCTTCTGGACATCCTATCTCTCTTGAATGTATCAACTTGATTTCTCAGAAACTTGATGGAGATTATGTGCATAGAACATTTAGTTTGTGCACTGTGTTTGACTGCGCTGGAATAGGAACACAGAACATTTTCCATCTCTGCTGCAGGTGGAGATTCTCTGTTTTTTTCATAATCCCAAAGTAAATGTTAGGAACAGTTTCTCAGTTTATCATTCCAGGCTTAGTCTCTCATTTCTGAAATGCACCTCATCTGATGGCCTGGCCCCTGCTCACCATGTTCACAGCCTCATCCAGCCTACCAGGCAGCTTCCCACTGGGGAACTTGCAGTTTCCTAAGATTCCAAACTGCCTTGCCTCAGGGCATTTATACTTGATTGCTCTCATCTCAAACCTCCTCCTTTTATTTATCTCTCCTTTTTACTTGTTCTTTTTTTTATGCTTCACTTAGGGATTTTATCTTAACATGTTCAGTAATTTAACCATATTTTATATCTAAAAGACATGAAGTCATTTAATTAAGTTGAGGAGGTTGTTTAATGCAAGAGAACACCACAGATTTTATAAGGTTTTGTTACTTCAGCCAAGGTCAAGCTACGGGACCTAGATTATTTAGAAATCAAAATATCTAAAATAAAATATTTACATTTCGTGAATTTACTATTTGAGAGTTTGCTTTCAACATGTTTCTGTCTATTTAAAAATTTAGAACATGTATTAAAGTTATTAAACACTTTAAATTTTTGGAGTTCTATTTTTACTTGATAATTTAATTTAATATAGGCTTAAAGAAAGAAAATTCATTTAAAAATAACTGAGACAATTGAAGTCATTTAAAACAAGGCATCAAAACTAAACAATGCAAGTTTTACTATTTTTAACTAATTGCACTATAGTAGACAATTTGGTCTACCACATGGCAATCATTTGTTTCCAAGATTCTCTCAAATGTTCTCTTTCAAATGATTCATGTCATGTGATTAAGGCTTATTTCATTCCACTTACATAGTAACTTACTTCCTCCCAGAGCAGATTTTACATTTTCTTAGGTCTTAGAGATTGTATCACCATCTTTATATGTCATCTTCATATGACAGTTGCTCCCAGACTGTAAAATTAAATGGGCAAAGGCTCGTTTTGTTTGTTTTGTTTTGTTTTTTTTGGAAAGCATCCCCAGTACTAACATGAAGCCTTCCAAAGAGCTGATGCTCAAGTAATGATAAGGAAATAAACAAGACAGTGAGTATGAAGTCTAATAAATTAGGATTTAATTTCTCTTACATCCCTGAATAATCTAAGCAAATCCAGGTATATAACTTTTAATTTTACAAGAAGAAAGACTAGAAGGAATTAGATAAACCAAGAATCAACAATATTTTACTTTTTTTCTGTAGTGTTTGATCTCAGCAATTTTACTACAGCCTTTATGCACAGGTCCAAGAAAATCACTGTTCATATGACATTTCTCAAAAGAAGACATAAAAATGGACAGCATGTATATGAAAAGGTGCTCAACATCACTAACATCAGGGAAATGCAAATCAAAAACACAATCTGGACCCCCCATAATATGAAGTAATAAAAAAAAAACCACAATGAGTTAATACCTCACTTCAACGGTAGGATGTCAAAAAAAAAAAGAGTTAACACCTCACATCTGTTAGGAAGGCTAGTATTAAAACAAACAAAGAAACAAAGAAAAACCAAGAGAGAAATGTTGGAGAGGGTGTGGAGAAAACAAAACTTTTATACACTATTGGTGGGAATGCAAATTGATACAATCACTATGGAATACAATATGGAGGTTCCTTAAAAAATTAAAAATGGAACTATCATATGACCCAGCAATCCCTCTCCTGAACATATACCCAAAGTAAATGAAATCACCACCTTCCAAGAATATTTATACTTCCATGTTCACTGTAGCATTATTATCAATAACCAAGGTATGGAAACAACCAAAGTGTTTGTCTATGGATAAATAGATAAAGAAATTGTGAGATATATATATATATATATATATATATATATATATGAAATGTAGTATTATTCGGCTTTTAAAAAGGAGATTCTGCTATTGCAAGTATGCAGATAAACGCTAAGTGAAATAAACCAGACACAGAAAGAAAAATACTACGTAATTTCTCTTATATACAGAATCTAAAAAGAAAATAAAAAGTTGACACATAGAAACAGATAAAACAGTGGTTATCAGAGGAAGGGATGGAGAGAGGATGGGAAGATGTAGGTCAAATGGCACAAAGTTGTAGTTATATAGAATGAATAAATCTGGAGATTTAAAGTACAGCATGGGGATTATAGTTAATAATATTGTATACTGAAAAAAAATTTTTTTGAGACAGAGTCTCACTCTGTTGCCTGGACTAGAGTGCCGTGGCGTCAGCCTAGCTCACAACAACCTCAAACTCCTGGGCTCAGGCTATCCTACTTCCTCAGCCTCCCAAGTAGCTGGGACTACAGGCATGCGCCACCATGCCTGGATAA